ATAAAACGATCTTCGAGTTTTATAAAACGATCTTCGAGTTTTATAAAACGATCTCTCGAGTTTTATAAAACGTTCTCTCGAGTTTTATAAAACGGTATTAATCAGTTTATAAAATGATCTCGCGGAAAATAATGGTTCCATCTTTTACAGAAGCTATCGCAGACGTTGATTTCGAGATTACGGTTTTCGACACCAACACTTTTGCGAGGCGAAAGTGAGCCAGTGCAAGGAGATTATGGATATTATAGAAATCTATGGAAAAGCATCTGGACAAAAACTAAATGCGGCGAAATCTTTGATGATCTTTGGAAATAGAGTTGACTACCCCCGGAAACAAGAGATAAAAGAAGTATTGGGTTTTTTTACTGAAGGAGACATGAGAATGTACCTTGGATTACCTGAACAGATTTGTGGCTCGAAACCAAAGTATTCTCTTACGTACAAGATCGTCTTAATGGGCGAGTTAATAATTGGTCATCGAGACTTCTCTCGAAAGGAGGAAAAGAAGTTCAGATTAAAGCGGTGGCTTAAGCAGTTCCGACATACCCAATGTCGTGTTACTTGATTCCACAAGGCATTACTGATAAACTAAGGAGTACGACTTCTAATTTTTGGTGGAGTTCGAAACAGAACAGCAAAGGCTTGCATTGGATAGCATGGGACGAGATCTGTACCCCTAAGGATTCGGGGGGACTAGGTATTAGAGACCTCCATGACTTCAATTTAGCAATTCTTGCAAAAAAATATGGCATTTGATCCAGTATCCGAGTTCTCTAGTGGCACTTCCCCTAAAAGGAAGATATTACAACAATACTTCTCCCTTGGAAGATCGACGAACATATTCACCCTCATATGGTTGGCACAGTATCATAGCAGCAAGACCTTTACTCATGTCGGGGTTACGAAGAACAATTGGTACAGGCCGCGATACGAGGATTTGGACCGAGCCCTGGGTTCCTGACTCAGTGGCCCGGCCACCTAGACCTGTCGATCACGTTGTCTACAGACTTCCCCAACTCCCTGTTCAGGCCTTTATTAGGAATGATATCAAGGAGTGGGATATCCAGCTTTTACATGAATTCTTTCAGCCAGATGATATCCCGTTGATACTTGGGATTAAACCGTCCCGCTCTTCTGCTCTGGATGGATATGTTTGGAATCACACAAAGACGGGAGTCTATTCAGTTAAAACCAGATATAATCTACTCCAATTGAGCAAGACGAGGCCTACACATGAAATGGTTCTCGAACCAAGCGTCAAAGGCCTCTAGAGTCATGTATGGGAGTTAAAGGCTCCAAGCAAGATGAAGCACTTTTTGTGGCAAGCTATCTCGGGCTGTGTGGCGACAGCAGAGAGGCTAACTTATAGACACCTGGGCACCGATAGGGGCTGCCCTAGATGTGCTGGCCCAGTGGAGTCGATTAACCATCTCCTTTTTGAGTGCCCCCTGCCATGCAGGTTTGGACTTTATCGGACTATCGGCCATTCCAGGTGACTTCCCGAGTACATATATTTACCAAAACATGAATTTTCTGTTATGGAAGCGAAAAGAAGTGGCTCCTCGGAGACCACAATTCGACCCTTTCCCATGGATCTGTTGGTATATTTGGAAGGCAAGGAACGACAAGCTTTTCAATGGGAAAGACGTATCTCCAGTGAACACTCTTCAATATGCGTCTCTTGAGGCAGAATGTTGGAGGAAGGCAAACGAGAAGGAGGAAGTAAATGAGGATCATGAGGTACCTCCTAGTTCAGAGTCCCCTAGGATCTCCCAAACCCTTGCATGCCAAATTGATGCATCATGGATCGATAATGGTAGTGTCAGTGGCTTAGGGTGGAGTTTCAAGGATCAAATGGATTCTGAATGGTTCGGATTACGGGCGTGTAGAAGGAGCCTATCAGCTCTGCATGCCGAGATGGAAGGCCAACTGTGGACAGTCTCATTTATGAGAGATTTGAGGATGACTTCGATACGGATTGAGACGGACTGTTCGGATCTAGTGGACATGTCCACTAGACCGGAGGACTGGCCGGCTTTCGCGACAGAGATCGAGATGTTTCAGCAACTACAGGAGGACTTCGAGGATATGTGTCTTTCTCATATTCCTTGGAGTATAAATGGACGAGCGGATGCATTAGCTAAAGAAGCAAATAGTAGAGGCTATTTATTTTCCCATATAGATCAGACCCGGCCAGACGGAGTTTCTCCGCGGAGAATCGACTGATCACCACTTGATATAGAGTAAATGGGTGGCTGACCAAAAAAAAAAAGATTATGTTAGTTTATCTGTTGAAGTTAGACACTGCAGGCCTTAATGATTTCCATTCTCTCTCGTCCTGGGTACTAGACGGCAAACTCCCAGTCTCAATGCAATAACTTGTAATTGATCTATTTTCTTTTTTCCATCTAAGAATCATTCCATTGAAAAGATAAAAACATCCAGATGTACAACAACATATATCATACACTCCCCGCAGCAATCTTACGGACCCTCAGGGAACAAACCCTGGTCCCAAACCTACACAACTCATAGATAGATCAGAGGAACCGACTTTCATTTACAAATAACTCAATACTTTGTAGTTGATCTAAATAATCCAATAAATTTTATAGTAATAATATTATAAGTCACAAAAATATTATTATAAGATTATATAATATATAAGATCAAATTATATTAATTATTCATAAATTTTATTGTATAATCTATAATATTGTAGTTTAAAAAAAAGATTCGCATGATAGTGCGGATCAAGATTTTGAACTTAAGTCGGTTATATCTCCAGCGAACTCGACCATTAATAGGTCCGTTTTTAAAAACACAACAAAACTACATGCTAATCTGTTTGAAAATTCTATTAGGTGTTTTTAATTCAAATTTACACTAATTAATTAACTAACTTATTCACTAGATATTTTGGAAAATAAACTAGCCAAGTTTTGGGTCATATAAATAACTACAAATACCGTATGACCAATCTAATACATGCATAAAATATATCATATTTAAATAACATCTTATTATACTAGAATATATAATATTATACATGATTTTTATTTGATATAATAATATTTAGTTATACCATAAAAATATTCATCCATATATAAACAGAACCACTGCATCTTCTATTAAAGATGAATAAATTAAAGCCAAATTCGATATTCTAAAAATGATTATTCTATTTATCAAGAAAAACAAATAGAATTAGGTTGGAGATGATCTAAGAGAAATATTAGTGGAGAGTACCTCCATAAAATGTTCCTCTCATTACTATATTATTATTTTAAAATAACATCTTAGATCATCTCCATTAACAAAAAAAGGGGGTTCGATTTCCAAAGTTGTTTTTTTATTTTTTTTTTCTATTTGATTAGAAAATAAATAAATAATCAAACCAATCGCAGGCCGCCACGTAACGTAATTACAAAAAAGTGATGAAATCAGTTCACTAATTTTGATTATATTAATTTTTTTTTTTGGAGAAAGTGTGAACCCTGCCCCTTCCCCTCCCCCCTTTTAGTTTCACTAATGGTGGTGGTCTTAATAGTCTCTCGGCCTTGTGTTAGAGTCATTTTGCTGAGAGACTATTTCCTATATTTCTACTCTATCTATCATACTTTTCACTTTGTTAATAATATTACTGGGATGCTCTAAATGACTAAAAATTCTATGTCACTGGCTCCGGTCAATATCAATACATCAAACAAACATCAACATTAATTTTGTACAAAAAAGAACAAAACATGGCTTCTTCTATATACATTTACATTATTATTAGTTAAAAAGAAAAACTTACATAGTAAAGATCTCATATTTTCAAGCTCAATAGAGCTACTATAAAAAGATCCCTCCCCCCAAAAAATTGTTTGTTAATGTCATCTTTACTTGTCGTTTTCAAGTGTCACAATGTTAACAATCCATCTAATTCTGAACAGCTTTCACAGCTGCAATTCTAGCAGCTATCGCAGCTTTGTTAGCCGCAGCTACAGCTCGTATCACCTGCTCCTCAACCCGTCTCTGATTCACACCTTTTTTCGCCATCTCTAGAGCACTCTGCAATTTACCAATATCAACGGTTTAGTAAATTTGAATCAAAACAATGTGTAATATTATAAGAGCATCCCCATTACTGAACCCCTTTCTGGGATTCATAGGATTTTTTAATATTTTTATGGTGGGACCATGAATAGTGATGAACTCGTATCAATTGTGTTCATCCATTAATGAACCCAAAATCCGGATTCTTAAGAATAAAATATTTTTTTTTTAAAAAAATATTTTTTTTAAAGTTAGTATTCAGTACAAAAAAAGAATATTAGAAAAAAATATTTTTAATTAGATGAAATACAACTTTTCAATTAAATGAAACAGAAAAATACAACCTTTCAATTAGAGGAAATTCACAACCTTTGAGATTGCTATGATTAATAGATTATTCATAGATACACAAAGAAATTTGCTAACTTCATATAGATATCCAAGAATCATAAACTCAATCTTTATCGTTTATTTTAACACTGTTTATAAATATTTAGGAACTCAAACTGAAAAAATGACAAAGACCTTTAAACATGAAACTTCTTGTACAAGTATCTTACAAAAAGACAAGGTTAACATAACTCAACCTTGTTTTTATTATCATAATTCCACTCCACACCGCACACACCTTACCAGTTTCAGGAAGTTATAAACTCAGATGGGTTCAACAATCATCTACCTCGCCTGAGGAAACATTCCCGAGTGAACAGCCGTCATCGCCGGCTCAGCAACCACCAAACTCATCGTAGGTCTATTTTTAGAGCTACGAGACGCACAAGCCATTGCTACTTCTGTGATCTTCCAAGCCGAACCAGCATCAAACCTCTCTCCTAGCTTTGGATCCACAATGCCTCTGATATTTCCTGTGGAAAGAAGCAACCCGACCCGATCGGTTATGTGTATGTTCTCTGCTGTTGTTCTTGAACGTGCAATCACTGGTTGGCCTGTGACAACCTCCAAAAGAACCACACAAAGCTGTAAACATCACTCTTCTCACTTAACTTCTGCGTCGAGTGGTACCTCATTTTGTAAAATAGTGTCTCAGAAGCGATGACAGGTAATATTAGAACATAACAGAAGAAGCTATTTACTTACTCAGGATCAAGATAACCAATAGTTCCTGCAACTGCAGTTGTATCCTGGTTAGTACCATCCAATGCAACACTTCTAGATAATCCGAAGTCAGCAATCTTGGCCTGAATCTTCTCGTTGATTAGTATATTAGCCGCATTTACATCTCTTTGTACAATAGGAGGTTTGCAGCCATTGTGAAGATACCCAAGCCCTGAGTTTCAGAAAGGAAAAAAACATAAAGACTAAGTTCATTTCATTTTATATTCACCTTTCTTATTCTAGTATGACAATTACATGAAGCAAGATTCAATACACAGAGAGATCTATCTTTAATTAAAATCCTACCATTCTCTTAATAAGCCAAAATTTTAACCTTTAGCATAGTTTAGGTAAGCCGTAAGCATAAACAGAATGTGTTTTGTACCTGGGAACAAACTTATAAATTACGTATTTCTCATTTCTACCACCGACAAGGGCTTTAAGACTCTCGCAACGGGAAGCATACATCTGGTCGGAAGAACTCAAGATACTGCGGACTGAATATGGGGACTCTCTAATCGCTCTCATCTCTGATTGTATAGTGATATCACTCAAATGTTTAACACTAAGGAGTGAATTACTCTCTCAAATAAGAGGATCAGTTGTATTACTTAGGATCGAATCCATAAGGGCTCTAGAATTACACAACAGATTATTAAGTCTTCGAAATAAAGCTAGACAATAAGATTTTAAACAGTAACTTAAAAGATAGCAAGTAAATGCTTGATTGATTGATTGGTTTGTTAAGAAGAAAGAAGATAGTTAAACTTAGGTATTTTCTCAGGTATGACATACATGCAAATTGTAAAGGGTTTTTATTATTCATAGTTCTAGATTCAAACTCTTAAGGAATTTAAGGATTAACTCTACTGGATTTCGGGTTAGGACTATCGTCCGATAACCTGAAGGGAGTATCGATCGATTTTTCTGTTGAAGCTATCGATCGAAGTAAATGCCGCTATATCGGTCGACACGACTATCGTCTCGTCGATCGATATCGTATCCAACGAGTGGTAAAGGTGTATTTGAATGGATTATCTAGTTTCATTAAATTAACTTAGACTTAGGGTATTTGCCCAGCTATCGCTTGTCCAAATTGATCCCAAAATCAGAGGCAAGGGTGATCAATCCTTGACCTTAGCATTCATTGATAACTAGATTGAGAACTATATTTTAAACACCCTAATAATGG